GACCTGGAACTGGTTTTAATAAGGCAGGACATGATTACCCGTCCTGTTTTGGACCTGGAACTGGTTTTTAATTGGGTTGGACATTATTACCTGTCCTGTTTTGGACCTGGAACTGGTTTTAATAAGGCAGGACATGATTACCCGTCCTGTTTTGGACCTGGAACTGGTTTTAATAAGGCAGGACATGATTACCCGTCCTGTTTTGGACCTGGAGCTGGTTTTGTCTGTTTTAGTGTTCGTTCAGCTCCAGCTGTTCAGCAGTTTTCATGGATTTGAACGAAAGTGCAGGTTTTAGGACGGGCGGTGTTGTCCACAGGATCAGCTGGACATTTACATCACTTTGCCCTCAACACAAAGCTGCAGCTGCACCTTTATTTATTCCCATTTCCAACCAGGCTGTCCTGTGCACATGACGGAGGCCATCCTCATCGTCACATGTGTGACTTGGGTCTGGTCTTGGTTTGATCAGCAGACTTCCTGTGTGGAGAAGGTTTTCAGCAGCATCTCCTCCCAGATCAGCACACCTCCTCTGGATGCTGCAGATGCAGCCGCTCCCATTCATATGTTGGCTGTGGGACTCAGAGGAGGGTGGGAATCCTGTTCTCTTTGTCCAGCAACCGGATTGTCATGGTGTGTGTGTTGGGGGGGGGGGGGGGGGTCCTCAGCTGTGCTCACAGCTGAATCATTTCCATCTCAAAAGAATCCTGCATCATAGATCATTTTCTCTCAGCCTGCAGCAGCAGGAGTGATGACGAGAGCACCGTCAGGATTTATCTATGGAGACTACAGCACTGATGGTGTGCAGAACCACACCCCAGGAGCTCACACACTCCTCAGCAGCTCACACACTCCTCTATTAAATGTCTTATTTAAACAATGGTGTTCTGACACAAAGCATCACAGGACCACTCTGCTGCTGGAGGCAAGCTTAGTTTGGTATAAAACTAGAATAATAAATAAAATTCACTAGAGCCTGACCGATGTGGAAATTTTGGCTATAGTCAATATGAGAGGGGAAGGCTAATGCTGATAACGATGTACTGACTGAAAAATTTTGAGCTTTGTCCACCCCCAATCTAAGAAAGCGGCTACACTTGTCTTCCTAACGTGCGTTCACAGTTTCTATTCACCACAAAGTTATCAAGTGTGTTAATCGTCCTCTGTTCATTGTTTAGTCAGTCACGCATCGTGAAGGTCTAGTTGGTGTCGAGTCGACCGCAGCAGAGGTTTGTTTTTTCTTTGCAGATAAATAAAAATTTCAGACAAACAATACATTTCAGTGAAGACAACAAAGTTAATGTTACTAATACTGATATATATTTTACCTCTACGTTAGATTTATTGTTCTGGATAAAGTTTTATAAGGCAATAGCCTATGCAAGGTTATGTAAAGGTTAGCTTGCTGTCTTGAGAGGTGCGTAGCTAATGACAAGGGGGTTGAAGGATTGAATTTTTTATTATTGATTTGTTTTACAGATCAGTTAAAATAAACTTACCATACTCTGTATTGCTCCCTTCTTTGTCTGTGCTGAATGTGAAAGTGAAACTTAAGTGAACGGCCATGACTTGAAAGTGGTCTTCATGCGCCCTCTGCTGCCCATTGTACACTTACTCCAGCATTTTAGAGGTGAAAATGAGAAGTGCTTATATCGGTGCGTAATGGGACAATTGTCACTGATACGTCCCCAAATGTCTATCAGCCGTACCACGTATCGATCGGGCTCCAATACAAATGTGTTTATGTTGTGATAGCGACCTGCAATGTCGGCAGGTGTCAGAATGACAGAAACAGGTAGGTGCGAACACTTTTTAGACTTATTTCAACCTGAAGTAGGCATGGAACTATGGTAACCACAAAGCATCACAAAGTACTGGTTTTCAGGATGCACATTAGTAACTGTAAAAAGGTCACTTCAGTGAGGTGCTGCGTGGCCCTAGTGCCCAACTTTTTTGTATAACTTGCTGCTAAACAATGATTGTACCCCCTCACAGAGTGAAGAAGTAGAATTCAAACCACCGCACCATGTGTTGTGAGCACGATGACGTGAACAATAAGCGAGGCACTGACTTCTGCTTTGGTGTGCGTCTAAAAGCGTAAGAAAGTTCACAGAGGAAAACTGGGTTACCAAAATCCCAGATGATCCAAGATTGCTCCTCCCTCCACTGCTCCATCATTGCTCCTGGTGGTGGATAAAGTTGATCCCTCAACTCTGAGGATCCATCACTCTGCGCCTCCTCTGACAAGTTAACAACATAAAAAACCCTCTGTTCTTCTACACAGTGTAACTTCTACCCACTGGAATATATTTTACAAAAAAACCCCAGTAAGGTTTACTTACATTTTACTTCCAGTCCAGAAAAACACAATCTTAAAATCTACGAACATTCGATATTCAAATCTCTGTGGTGGGGGACACTGGTTGAAGTGATGAGAGCATCTTTATGATCATTTCACCAGTTAAGTGAACCATTCACTTCAGTCAAATGTGGCTCAGATCAGATTATTTTATGACCGTATGAACATGAAAACTCTGATTTCCTCAAATCCAACCCAGGTCTTGTCCATCTGTGCTACTGAATCGGATCCATCCAGTGAAAGTTTATGAAGTCTTTATAATTTTTTATATTTTTGCATGAATATGACCTAAAACATCAGATTTTTTACACAAGTCCTAAAAGTAGAAGAGAACCCAGTTAAAGAAATGAGATCAAATATTCTACTTGGTCATTTATTTATTGAGGAAAATGATCCAATATTATATATTTGTGAGTGGTAAAAATATGTGAACGTATACTTCCAGTACTGGTGTGACCTAACTGCAACTAAACGTTTCTGGTAACTGTTGTCCTCACATTAACAGCTGCTTCAGGCCCCTCCACAACATCTGGATTGGATTAAGGTCTGGACTTTGACTTGGCCATTCCACAACATGAACTTTATTCTTCTTGAACATTCTTTGGAAGAACCACTTGTGTGTTTAGGCTCAATGTGTTGCTGCATGGTCCACCAAGCACCACTGCGTTGGATGTTTTTCAGAGTGACCTCAGTCTGAGCACTTAGCTCGCATCTCGTCAGTGAAGTAGGTGTAAGCGGATCAGTCCAAGTATCGATAATGCCAGCGTCGTGCAGTTTAAACGTCTTCAAGTACAGAACAGAAGTCCAGGAGCTTCATTTCTTTTTAAACTTTTAACTTTCTAGATATGTCATGTCCTAGATGAGTCTACACCGACATGATCCTAGCATGATCTGTATTTGAGTTTTCTTCTGCTGTCATCACGTTGCTTCCTTCAGGAGTGTGAGTTTGTGCTGGAGGGTCCGGATCGGATGTAAACGCTGGATGAAACGGTCCTGTCAGATCATTTGATCAGCTCTGATTGTACTGCAGCGTTAGAGTTGACCCACGTTGTCTTTTTGACTTTCTGTACTATTCAACTGGACTAAGAAATGAAAAACAATAATAAAACTTGGTCTAATATTGTTCAGAGCCAACTTGTTTGTCCTCATTTTCACTGTTGGCTCTTGACTGAAAACAGCAGTAATGAGCCGTTTGTGTTCGTTCAGGAGGAGTCGGTTCAGTTCACGATGAGCGCAGAATAGTTTCATGGCTCAGCTTCAGCTCCAGCGTCAGTCTGAGGGAGGCTGCACTCATGGAGTTTCATCAAGGCCTCAGTGGAGGTTCTGCTGTCTGTTCTGATCCAGCAGAACCATCAGCTCATACTATCCTCGGACTTTTACCTTTTACCCCTCTGTTGTTGCCCAGGCCTGGTTCTACCAGCATTCTGTGTTTTGCTTGTGTAGTTGTGTGTCTGCGGAGGAATGCCAGGCATGTGGGTGAGCCCGGACACCCGTTGTTCAGGTGCAAGGAACCACAACTAATTTGAGAGGTTTTAGCCTCTACATTCAAAGGCACAGAGTGTCCCCCCCCCCCACACACCCCCACCCCCCCCCACCCCCAACAGGCGAGGGGTGTTGGTTTATGAGTCACACGGGAGTCCAGTGCTTTAATATGAAATAAAAACTTTAAAGTCCCTCCGTGTTTTATCAGAGATCTACTTTTGGTATAGCCTGTACTCTACTGGTACGTTACTGGTACACTATGTACTCTGCTGGTACGTTACTGGTACACTATGTACTCTGCTGGTACGTTACTGGTACACTATGTATTCTGCTGGTACGTTACTGGTATAATCTGTACCAGGGGTCTGCAATCTGCGGCTCTGGAGCCACATGTGGCTCTTTGGTCTCTCCCCAGCGGCTCTTTCAAGCTTTGACCAAAACTGACATAAAATTAAATTGTATTGGTTAAACAAACAACAAAAAAGGTTAGTTCGTACAGATTTCCTGTCATTTCTTTTGTAAATCTGTGAACACAGGAGCGAGCACGAGGAGCAAAACGTACTTTAACTTGATGCTTTATTTCTTTATACCAAGAACTGTCTGTATAGTTTAAGATTTTTTTAAATAAAAATAGGTAAAAACTGATCCCACCCTCTTTACAAGAATCTGGTCTTTTACTTTAATAAATGTTAAAAATAATTAGATTTTATTTATTTATTTTTGCTTTATAATGTAACACCTACTGGGAACACGATCCC